TGCTCATCCACACCTCATTCATTCAACAGGGCAATTGATTAAGAGTGTGGGGGTGGGAGAGCTCTTGTTCTACTGCTAGCAAAAATATTTTTTTTATCTTATTCTATCTTTAGGGGCTATAATATTATACCAAGGGCAATGTAAAGTTTCTAAATGAGGTTTTGATACAAAGTCCCATGAAAACAGAGGTCACACGTGGGTAGACCCACCACAAGGTTATATGAAGAGGCACAATGTAAAGTCATATGAAAATTATCAGAGATTTATCTACAGCTGTGAGTGGGGGGCTGTGCAGGGAGAGGGGAGTGGTGTGTTAGAGGGACACTTGTTCGTTGGCTTTTCCCACTGCAAGGCAGGAAACGGACACTGGCCAACTCGTGGTGGGGTTGGGTTTGCCGAGGGTCACGTGTTTGTGAATGTGGCTGTGGTGGTTTCTCAGCCTGAAGCTATCTTGTTCCCCACAGACTCGGTGCTTGCGAGAGGAGTGCCCAGGGATGGTGGTTGGTTTCCCAGGCTGCTGGCTGGGGGCTCGAGCTGGTTCTGTTTGTGTTGTTAATCCCCAGCCATTGAACCCACCCCAGTGTTAGTTGTGCCGACTCCACCTGGCAGATGGATTCCACATACCTGGGGCTCAGGCTCTGCACCCTAGCAGAGAAAGGGCTGACATGGCCCGAGGCTGGAAGCTGAAGTGAGACAAATTCCGACTGGAAATAAGGGGTAAATTTTCAACAGTGGGAGTAGTTAGCTCTTGGGCCCATTTCCCAGGGGTGGGGGTAGATTCTCCGTCACTGGCAATTGTCAAATCCAGCCTGGCTGGCTGTCTACAAGCTCTGCCCTAGGAATGATCTGGGAGCAGGTCTCTGGCTCAGCCAGTGGGTCCTTCTGGCCCTGAAGTCTGGGCCTGGGCTACACAGGTTGACCTAGCTACATCATAAGCACATCAGAACGGCCAGGCTGGGTCAGAGCAAAGGTCCATCCAGCCCAGTTCCTGTCTGCCGACAGGGGCCAGTGCCAGGTGCCCCAGAGGGAATGAACAGAACAGGGAATCGTTGAGGCAACAAGCAAATATCGCTCTGGGCTGTGAACAATGTTGCACCCTGAGCACTGCGGCTCGGTCCCCCTCCCCAACCGCGGACACGGGGGGTGCGGGATTCACTACAGTGAAGGGAAAACCCCTTCCCTCGTGGCAGTACATGTCTACACTAGGGTGCTCCGGCAGTGCCACTGTAGCCCTTGTATCATTGACATGCCCAGGGTACCTGTGAGGAACGCTGCTGGCTCCAGGTGGGGACTGGCACCACCTCTATGCACACTGGGTGGGGCTCACCCATGTAGGGAGCTGTGGGGCCTGGGTGCTGGATCCCAGGGGCCCCCTACCCGGCCAGCAGCTCCGGCCCCAGCAGCTCGCACAGCCCCGAGAGGGAACACAAAGCCACCTCTCACTCCCAGGGGCTGCCACAGCCCCTGCCCGCTGCTGCTGGGTGCACCGGCCCCCCCCCTCCCCCGGCGCCCTCTGGGACAGACAGCTGCGGGACAGGGCCTAGCCAAGGGGGCACCCATTTGCCCCCAGCCAGAGAGCAGGTGGGTAGGAACAGCAGCCCTGTTGGCTGTGGGGTCTGGCCATGGGGGAACTATGGCTCGGGGCCCCATGGGGGACACTCAGCAGGGAAGGGCATTCAGTGAAGAATGGAGCAAGGTCCCCAGGAAGGCGATGCTCTGGTGAGGAGCAGGAACAGCTGGGAGCTCCCCCCACAGCCAGCCCTGTTGCTCCACCCCAGCACCCCTGCTGGGAGAGGTGGGGCGGGAGTAGCCCAGCGCTCCCCCATAGCCAGCCCTCCTGCCCCCACAGCGCCCCCTGCTGGGAGAGTGGGGCTGGAGTAGCCCAGAGGCGCGCCCCCCCCCACACACACAGCCAGTACCCTGCCCCACTTCCTATAGCGCTCCCTGCTGGGAGCGGCTGGAGTAGCTGGGAGCTGCCCCTCAGCCAGCCCTTCTGCCCCACTCCCCACAGCGCTCCCTGCCTGGGGAATATCGAGGCAGGGGGCAGGGTTATACTCGGGGCATGTGGAGCTCCTGCCAGGCTGGGAAAGGTGGGTGGGGAGTGCTGGAGGGCTGGAGCCGTGGGGGGCAAACGAAGGAAGCTGGGACGGAGAGGGGTGTGAGGCCCGGGGGCTGCGCCGACATCTGTCTGTAACCATACCCTACTGGCCTGCACCCCCACGGCCCCCCAGCTGGGCCCCTCCCCACCGAGGTTACCCGGCTCTGCGCTGGGGCCTGCGGAGGGGACGGGGGGGAGGGGAGCTTGGAGCTGTGCCTCCCACCACAGTGAGTCACGGGGAGGGGCTGGAGCACATCTGGAGCACATCTGGCCCTCTGCAGCGGGCGGGGATGGCAGGGTTAACGGGGCCGGGCTCCGCACACACACAGCGCCACGCAGCCGGCGAGGCAGCGCCTTAGCATGTCCCCCCTGGACCCGTGGGTGCTGAGGGACCCCGCGTGGCTGCGCGTGGTCTGGGTCGCGGCGCTGGGGCTGGGCTCCGTCTGCATCTGGGTCCTGTTCCTGGTGTGCTCCCTGTGGGGCCGGCAGCCTGTGCGCCTCGGGGCCCAGCCGCTGGCAGGTAGGTGCGCTGGGGCCCCCCGTCCTGCACCCGGCTGGCGTCTGGTCCTGGTGTCGCCAGCACAGGCCATGGGGAGGCCTGACCCCAGAACTCCCCCCCCCCCCCCGGCCTAGCGACACTGCGGGCTTGCCCCCACCCGGACAGGCGGCAAGGGAGATTTACCCTCAGTCCTGCGGTGTGAGAATCAGGCCCTGAGAGGGCCCGTTGGCATGAGGCTGGGTGCACATTACCCAGTCCACGGACGTCGCTGGACCCAGTCGCCTTCCCGCAGGCCGACCCTTGTCAGTCGCCCCCAGCCCAGCCTGGCCCGGCCCTGTCACCCCCGACTCGGCCCTGTCACCCTGACTCTGGTTCGGCCCTTGTCAGTCGCCCCCAGCCCAGCCCGG